GTGAAACTAGCTTAATTATTAATATTAAATAGGTATGGGGACGTGTGACGCCATTTAAAAAAGTATGTTTTTTTATAATCATAACTTTATGGGTATCAAATTAAAGGTCCATTAAAAATATATAATCTGTATACAAAATTAACTGCTCACTAAAATGAATAAAATATAAAAATTATTTAAAAATTAAAAACACGACTGCTAAGATCGGACAAAAATTAAAAGAAACAAGTTTAGCCAAATCATAGGCTATAAATATAAATAGCGATGACAATATATCAATAAAATTATAAATATTAATTAAAAAATATTCGTGCCATATTTTTCGTCGACGATTTCGAAATATTTTCGTCATCCATAGGAAACATGGACTGTTTCCTGTTTGGAAAAGTAGTAAATTAGAATTATATTAAACTAGTTGTGCCCGCGGCTTTATGCGAATGGAAAGTAACCTAAGGTTCTTTTCTCATGGCTAGATGCGATGTTATTCGATATGAATGAACGATATCACACGAATCGCATGCACTTATAAAATGTATGGAAAAACTCAAGTGTTTGCTCATGAGATTGTACTATCTGTCAATATCGGTCACAAATCTCATGGTCTGCGGTATCACTTCAAATGTATGAAGGTGGTAGAACGCTCGATCTGCTTTTGATTTTCTGTTCAATAATATCGAGGAACGATTCATTTGCTCATACTTACCATATCATCAAAATATATTGAATTTTACAAAAAAATACGGCAATATCCGTATATAAACAAATGAAAAGCTCGATGGTGCCGGATAGCTCGTTTGATCTGCGATTGAGGAGGTTAAGCGACGATTGCAAAGGCCGGCAATTGGATGGGTGGTCAATTTTTTTGGTGGTCAAAAAAGAGATAAGGCAAAAAGAGCATATAAGAAACGTCCAACTAACCGCAATCTTATTCGTTTTAAGGTTCTTCGAAATTGCTGCAGTCGTATGTGTAGGGATGCTAAGCGACGCTTCTTCCATAGCTCTCTTACTGATCGCAATCCTACTGATGCCTGGCGGTTTTTGCGCTCTGTAGGAGTGGGGAAATCTACTGCTACTGTGTCTACCAATGTAGATTTAAGCGTCCTTAACAGACACTTCTCCCTTCCTCCTTCTACTATCGATGGTGACATAAAGGATTCTACGCTCGCAGAACTTTCACTGGTTCCGAGGCCAGACTGCACATCTTTTGTCTTTTCAAAAATATCCGAAACTGACATTAAAAATACCATTCAAGCCATTTCTTCCGAGGCTGCTGGCGAGGACAACCTAAGCGTAAGAATGTTTACCCCTATTTTATCTTTTCTCCTTCCTATACTTGTTCACATACTTAACTTCTCACTTGAATCCGGTTCTTTTCCCAAAATTTGGAAGATGGCGCACATTATTCCACTGCCTAAAGTATCTAATCCTTCAGTCCCATCTCATTTTCGTCCTATTTCTATTCTTCCCCTTCTCTCTAAACTTCTTGAGCATATTGTTCATAAGCAATTATCAACTTTTCTTTTTTCTAATTCCCTTTTGAATAGGTACCAATCTGGTTTCCGCCCTGGTCACAGTACTGTAACAGCTTTAATAAACATTACTGATGATATTCGTTGGGCTATGGAGAATAAAGCTCTTACAGTTCTAATTCTTCTAGACTTCAGCAGTGCTTTTAATTCTGTCGATTTTGACATTCTTCTCGCTATTCTTCGTTCTTGCAATATCTCTCCTTCTGTTCTCTCATGGTTTGATTCCTACCTTCGGGGACGCACGCAACGTGTGCGTCTTAGTAATAAATCTTCTGATTGGTGCGACCTCGGTGCGGGTGTTCCTCAGGGTGCTGTTCTCTCACCTCTCTTATTTTCTATTTTCATTAACTCGGTTACTAAAGTTATATCTTCCAACTTCCACCTCTATGCAGACGACTTGCAGCTTTATCGACACTTTAAAATAGAAGACTGTAACTCGGCACTGGTAGCTATTAATAACGATTTGGATCGCATTAGTACTTGGGCAAAATCGTTTGGCCTCATGCTTAACCCGAGTAAATCTCAGGCCATTGTGATAGGTAGCAGGTTTAATATTAATTCTATTTCTGCATTATCTTTACCACCCCTGCTTTTGGATGGGACTCAGATCGAGTTAACAGACACTGTAAAAAATCTTGGAATTACAATGGATTCAAATCTATCATGGACTGCCCATGTATCTGAGGTTAGTCGTAGGACCTTCTTCTCATTTCACACACTTAAATGCCTTCAAAACTTTTTACCTTTTAAAACTAAAGTGTTACTAGCACAATCCTTAATTATACCTCTTCTTGACTATGCAGATGCATGTTACTTGGATGCCACTGAGGAGTTATTAAACAAACTTGAACGACTTCAAAATCTAGCGATTAGATTTATTTATGGTCTTCGTAAGTATGATCATGTGTCACATTTACGTAAGCAGCTCATGTGGCTTCCCATTCGTCAGCGTAGATATGTCAGGATTGTCTGTCTTCTGTTCAACATCCTGTATAATCCCGTCTATCCTTCCTATCTGCGTGAGCGTTTCTCCTTTCTCCGTTCTCCTGATGCTCTTTGCAGATCCCACCTTAAGTCTTCAAACTCCTTCACACAAAACGGATTTTGCTTCATATTCCTTCACTGTTCATGCTGCTAGACTCTGGAACTCTTTGCCTGCCGATATACGTGACAGTCGCACTATTTCTGTGTTCAAAAAAAGAGTAAAGGATCATTATCTTTCCTGTTGTTGATATTGGATAGTGTAGGTATTATTAATCTTTATATATTATAGATATATATATTATTATTTATATAATGTTTGAACCGTTATGTATTTTTATTTTCTCTCTTTCCCGGTATTTGAATTTGTTTTTTTTATTCCATATTAATTTATTTAGGAGGTACACACTGACTACCTTATTGTATTTCTTTTTCCTGTTTTGGGCCTGCTGGTAGAAATTTCAATTTGAAATAAGCAGTGCCCTTGTACTAATGTCTGTTACATTTGTTCATATGAAATTGTATGTGTGTACAAAATAAATAAATAAATAGATAATCCAACATTTTGTGGCGGCGGCCATCTTGTATAAAATTTTGTCATAGTAAACAGTATTCTACTACTCAAGCCCTTTTATTTAATGTCCGTATTGAGGGAGTCGTGAAAAATATGTAGGTAATCCAACATTTTTGGTGGCGGCCATCTTGGATTTGAAATTTGTCATAGTGTTCAGTATTCTACTACTCAAGCCCTCTTATTTGATACCCATATTGATGGAATGGTGATAAAATATGTGATCCGACATTTTGTGGCGGCGGCCATCTTGTATCGATTTTCATCAAAGTGAAGAACACTCCCGACTAATACACCTTTTAAACAAAATCAAAATGGGTTCATCCGTTCGGGAACTATGATGCCACAAAAAGACACAAACACACCACACACACACACACAGAGACATGTCAAACTTATAACACCGCGTCGTTTTTGCGTCCGGGATTAAAAATATATTGAATTTAGAAAAAGTTGTTTCATATGCGGATCTCCGATAAATTTGATATCGGTCGAATTGCATCGAGCCATAAGTCTAAGTTAATCCTCATTACGTAAGTCAACTTCTAGTGAAAGTCTCTTCAAAATCGGCCAAGCCGTTTCAGAGATTAGCCATAACTAACAGACAGACAGATAAAATATATTATTTTTGTATATGTACCATGTATACACACAAATGTATTTAGTGAAAAGCGGTTATTTTAATATTACAAATATGCACTCCAATTTTATGTACTAGTATAAGTGTATTGAGAGAAGAAGTACCTTGCTTTATTTGCATTTCATAATATAAATATATATTTTAACTTTCTTATACAAATATACCTAGGGGTCTTTCGACCTATGCTGAAAATAACAAACGTGTATTAGAAATAATTCAATAAGCTATATAAATTCCATATAAATCGAACTTCGTGACCAAAGTAGGAAGTCCCACTATACTGCTCTATTTACGCTCGCTCGAACGTATCTAGATCGAAAAATGGCGCGAAGAAATGCGACACAGGTCTAACGTTGAGGAGCGCTCGCGCGGTACTGAGCTCAGACGGCCGCTGCATCTTATTTTGTAGTGATTTTGCGTTTACATTTATCGTATTTATTGAAATAATATAATAAATTTATGCTTTAAAATTATAATAACTTTGTTCCTTATGAAATAGTCATTAATCTGGCATAAATTTTGTTAAATAATATTGTTGTGGCTAAGAGAAATTCAAAGTTAACTTCAAGCAATTTTTGATGTTTTTTGGTTTGTAATATAATTGTTTTTCTATATTTAATCAGTGCTATTTCAAAATTTCGAGCTACTGTTTACTTTACGACTATATAAGAGATATCATTCTATTTCTTTTATTTCGTTTGTTAAGAACAGTAGCTCAATCCAGGACTTCAAAAAAGTGTCTTTGCGCATTTTATGGAAAACTTTCTCTGGTATTTTGGATTTAATTAAAAAGATGAGCAAAATTTCCAAAAAGTTGAGCCACTAATTTCTATACCAAGAGTTATTCTTCACTATTCAACAAGTCAAAATTGTTAATTTGTTTTTGTTTCCGAGAAAAATCACGCAGAAATCACAGTTGCGATGTGTTGTTTCCTGAATTACATAAAGTTAGATGAGTCTGACTGAATTTAGAGAAACAAAGCTATTTCGAAAATTGAATAAATCCAAAATGTTTGAAAAAATATAAATATGTGTATAATGTTAATGAGACATATCATAATAAAAGAATATTAACATATTCATTCAAAAAACAAATAAAATGTTTTTATATTGCTATGGCTTAAGACATTGCGGAGAGTTAGGAGATCGCTTACCAGGGATATTTACTCATGGGGGGGTCTGTATCACAGAACATCATATCAGTAAATTTTATAATTTTTGATGATGTTTCCAAAATTTTATCTACTTGTAATCCTATACACCACACTTAAAAACCATAGCTTTTATAAAATAAGTAATTCATTAACTACATTAGAAGGACGGTAAAACACAACCCATTGTAATTTTATCTTATACTCACTATAATTTTTCAATAACAATTTATGTGATAATTTATTTAAAACAAATTAATTAAATTTTTACAAAGAATTTGACTTCTTTCTTAATGTGAAATGTTATTAAGACAATTAATTTTCGACATTATAAAAAACCGTACAATTATATGTATATATAGATTTATAGATATTTATATTTGAAAAATAGCTCTTGTCAAATTCAATATAGTTTGTCTGTCTTAATCAATGTGAATATAAAATAATGTCATATTTTATATTCACATTATGTGTAAAATGATATGGTATATATGCAATATATAATTAAAAAATATCTCCTCACTGCTCATACCAGAGGTACACAATAAGGCATTAAAATTAGAATTTCATTGTCAGATTTGAAAAATTGTTCACTCAGGAAGCTAATTATGTAACTTTAAAATTAATCAAAATCCCTTTAAATTTGAGTTTTGAAAGATATTCACAAACTTCACACTACAACTATTTGACATGTTATCAATTACAATTTTTTTATTTTTTCAAAAGATATTGAATAAACAATATTATTCATCTAATTTTTACTATCACAATCCATAGGGATTCATTTTAAATCAGATGGCAGGTAACAAATGACAGTAGATTCTTAAGTAAGAGTATAATCTATACCTTATGCGGCAGTTATACTTGAAATAACATTACGTCCCAATTTTTGTGCAACAAATTCCAGTATAGTGAACACCAGCTCACGTCGACTGTTTCTACACGCCATAAGTATTTCAAATGCATGCACACAGTCCACAGGGTCCAAGCGTCGGAGAAAATTGAAAACTATATACAGCAACTCTTTCAGTTTTTCCTTGACTGTATCCCATATTTCACGTAGTGTTACATAAGCTGAAAATGACATTACATTAACAAAAAATATCTACTTGGGATGCTTCCAGGGCCCATTGGTAAAGAACCACTGACCTACAGGAAGCCACAATATGTATATGTGAGTGACAGAGTAAAATTCACACACAAAAGTCGCAAGAAAACAGCTAGTAAACTTATAAATACTTTGAATTTATACTATCCAGAAGCATTTAGTGATGGACTGGTATTTTTTCATTTAATTACCAACATTACAATAAATAGTGTGTGTGTATGTGTGCAAGTGCTAATAGCCTCTAAGCTAGCATAGTCAGTAAATACATTCATAAAAAAACATGTATATATTATATAATAATTACTTATAATAATTCACATATTTAATAATACTTACAAGAAACACCAAATCCGGTCGCACTGCCTATACCGGCACCAAGTGCTGCACCCATTCTCCCTCCAGCATAACCTCCAAGCAGACCACCCGCCAATGCCATAGCTCCAGTCATGATAGCTGTGTCCCTGTTCCATACAACCCGAATATCAAATGCATCAGCTGTAATTGAAAGAACAATATGTCATGAAAAACTTCTATGTTTATTTATTTTTAATTTATTTAAGCTTAATTGCAGAATATAATCAGTCAACCGGGGAGTTGTTTATTTATTATTTAGTGTATTGATTTATTACTATAGATCACTTGTATTACAAAAGAAGTGGTAAGTCTAAAGTCATTTTATTAGTGAAAAATAATTCTTAAACATAAATACTAGAAAATTATTTTACTAATGAACATAATCCTCCCATGTTGATGCAAGTTATATTATGTCACCAGAATTATACCTTTATATTTTATCTTCAAATTTCCTCAGATGATTTTAAACTCTACTTTTAAGATTCTAAAGTATAAAATAATGTGGCTGAATTTGACACTGATATAAACAAATACGCTGTTGACTACAAAATACATTCATGTGAAGGATTTTTACTTAATTCATTTATATTTTTGTTTTTACACTTGCTGTAAAACGAGCAATGAGGCTATAATAAAAAATTGTTCCTTACCCAGTTGCAAAATCACTTGCTCGATCCAAATTCTGTCCATTCTTACAATAGACATTATGGGTAATAAATTAAATAACACGATTTAATACAAAATTCTATATACCACCGAACGGATTTGACAATTTTTGTATTTTGGCAATTGAGCTCTATTTTGCAACAACCGAAAATAATGGGCCGAGCGCGTAGGACAGGGTATAAAACGTCACATCCAACTAATGTTGCCAAAAAGTCGCCAAAGAATGACCTATTATCGTTTCCTTATGAAATATGTTTATATCTTAGATTAAGGAAAAACACAAAATTTTGATATTATTTCATTCGTGATAACTCTATTTATTTAACTTCATTCCATCTAAAGCCTGGAGTAAGCAATAGAGATAAAAAGTTATATTTGTTTCCAAAAATTTGTTCTGGCAATATTATTTAGCTGTCCAAGCACAATACTACTCTTTGAGGTAAAGTACAGGGTCATAGAGGCTAACCCAAAGAGAAAATTAATACAGTGGCTAACATGGCTAACCCGTAATTTTTTTAAAGTATCATAGCGGTGGGCAATTTTCTTTTTATACTTTGGTAAGTAGTGAAGTAGAAAAAAGAATCGGGGCAGAATGGAAAAATAGTTATAATATCCAACCATTTCAGAAGGAAATGATATTGTTCAATAAAAAGTGTCAGCGCTGCCAACGCCAGCTTCTTGGATATTGAAATGAAATATTTATTGATCTTGTTCTTTTTTATCAATCAGTCACCTAGAATTAAAATAAATACGGTCTCTCTAAATTTTATCAGCATACAACAAACTTGCCTGATAGTGAAAAATAGCAAATACACACTCACAATTCGGCAGGCATTACACATTTGACTTTGATTAAATCTAGGTTTTATCACGTTATAACAGTACATATTTCGTCACAATAATTGATGATAAAATATTCCGAATAGTTAGAGCGGTTAAATACTTTGTAGTTGAGGTAATCTTTTCCTTCCATTTCATGGTACCCTAGAGTCGTAAATACTCGCAGTACTTATATCAAAAATTTCAATATTTTTCGAGACCCTTGTAAAAAGATTTGACTTTTAAAAAAATGAGCCATTATAGTGCTATAATTTAAAACATATTAAACGGTGCGCTGCCAGAATGACGTCAGATTAACCTATTCATCGCCTCTTTCGTTAAGTTGCACAATGGTCCATTAAGGTTTAATAACACCTTTAAGCTCTAATGAATGTCAAATTTGTATCGGTAATGTCGCTTTAAACTAATGTCAATTACTGGCTGCTTATTTCAGATTTGACGATAGCCTGGAATGTTTTTAGAATCCAATACAGAGTGACGTCAGTCCAGCAGCACTACAGACTCTGGTTTACATCTGAAACAACATAACTTAGCTATTATTATTATTATAACTTAAACTGGTAATTGTTACAATCGATTTGTGCCGAGCGTAGCGCTACCAGTCTGGATAATAATTTAACCTCCATCGCCGAGTGACTAACATTAGCGATATCAATCATTATCATCAATATAAGGTTTAATGTTTAACGACGGTCGACGAGTGACGACATGTTTTAATGAATGTTTTTAATATTATTTCTTTTTTAATTACATCAGTCATGATAAATAATGGACTTTCGTGCAATAGGGGATTTGACACTATTCAAAATAAGTTTCATTTTTTGATCATCCTGTAAGATAATAATACGTCAGTCCAGCAGCACTACAGACTCTGGTTTACATCTGAAACAACGTAACTTAGCTATTATTATTATTATAACTCAAACAGGCAATTGTTACAATCGATTTGTGCCGAGCGTAGCGCTACCAGTCTGGATAATAATTTAACCTCCATCGCCGAGTGACTATAATTAGCGATATCAATCATTATCATCAATATAAGGTTTAATGTTTATCGACGGTCGACGAGTGACGACATGTTTTAATGAATGTTTTTAATATTATTTCTTTTTTAATTACATCAGTCATGACAAATAATGGACGTTCGTGCAACAGGGGATTTGACACTATTCAAAATAAGTTTCGTTTTTTGATCATCTTTTGATCATATTGTATCAGAAAAGTTTCAAATACCCTATTAGGTGTAAGCACGCTGGTTTAAATATGTCGTTATCTTTAGGGTCCCGAATAGATTTCCCAGTCGACATCAACGTAGAAGATGAATTTATCTATATTATATCAAGTCTAGGTGTTGTGTTCTGTTTCATTTTTCCATAATCAAGTGATGTAATTGACATCTACCACTCGTAGGAATTAACATGACACATGAAAGCCAATTCTTCGTCTTTGTCAATTTTCGAAATGCTAATACGACTCTGAAGAAACGCATTTTTTAATATAATGCAACGGAGGTAGGTTCTGACACTGCCTATAATACACAAATAACACTGCCCAACAATTATCTACCTACCTCATAAAGTTTTTCAAGACTATTTTTATTACGATTGATGTATTTTGGTGTACTCATTTCAAAAATAACACTGATATTTTTGTAGCAGCTCTTATAAGATTTTTAAAACACCCGCATTTTAGGTGGCAGTGCATATTCAGCGAGTTTCAAATAGTGTATTATTATATTTTCACAATAATAAACGATAGCTACGAAGAAGAGACATTGTTTAAGCGAATCAGACAGTTTATCTTTTTGTTATTTGTTGTAAGGGTGCCAAATACTGTGTGCCAAAATTGTTAACAAATAGAAAAAGACCTGCACTTAAATACAAGACACCCATTATCTGTCGCGAAGCTCGTAATCATCATGATGATTGTTATTTTTGGATGGTTAACATTACGGGTATACACTCTGAAAACCGTTATACACAAATGGTCCTACCCGACGTTGTCTGCTGCTCAGAAGCCTCTTACACACTCTGATCACTAGTGCCAGTATTTTTGTGTTTGTGTGTGCATGTGTGTAAGGATTGTGTTTATAGTAAGAGATTGTGTGTGAGTGCGTACATAAATATATCCACTCATCTCCATATCCACACAGAACACAGAAAGTAAGATGTTACTACATTCTTACAAGTATGCCTTATCATGGAATATATTTCCAGCAATCTGTTAAATTCGTTGTGTCAAAAAACCACTCAAACGGGAAGAAGTTATAAGCGTTAGATATCCTAGGAACACCTCTAGGACAGACTACGTGTCTCCTTCTAGTTTTAGACCTCGAATGATCGTTATCAAATGTTATAATAAGGGAACTAAAACAACAATTTTGTCGAATATAACATAGACTTAAAAAAAGTTTTTAATATCAGTCTTTCAGCTCGTTTTAATTTGAGCATTGAGGTTTTGGAGGATTGAGAGTGAAGTAATTCCTTTACCGAGCGGGCTGTATGTTTTGGATCATTATCATGATGAAATTTCCGAATAATTTGAAGAACGTCTTTAGCATGGGGTAACATTATTTCAGTACCTATATTTTAACAATATGGTACTGTACACCTTTAAGACGGCACCTAGCTCGGAGGGAGACAATTACCTTTAGTATCCCTTGCCAGTTGTTTCCATTATCTAGTAGGTCCCACACCTTCACCATTATGGTTCCTACAGTTATGTATTAAGAAAAAATTAAAATCATTAAATATACAAATACTTTAAAAATGCTAAACAACTTTATCATCAGCTCTTTTTCGTGCATAGGCAGGTAATAAAACTATTAAACACTAACAACATAAATTACAATTATTTTTATACTTGGTGTAGGTATTGGGCAATAAAACGAAATAGAAAAGATTCAAGGGTTTATTATATATTTATTTAATCATAGATACGTTGCACCAAGTTTACTGTTATTTAACCTATCGCCTTGCAAGCTATTTACAAAAATTATCAATAGAAATATTTGATCCAGAAGTACTTGCAGAAGGCTGACTAAAAAACTTGTCAATTTTGGGCAATTTTTGTTTACTTTCTCCTCTTTCTTGGCGTTGTTTGCGTTTAAATGCACCACCGGGTTTCTTTTTTTTTGTCCATAATATTAGTTTTCTAATTTATTTATGCAATATTTATGTAAGATTGTACTCAAGAAGGTACTCACTGTTCACTGACAACGTTACAAGTAAAAGGAAAGCGAAACGTGAATGAATGAAAATGATACGATACAAGGCGTCGTTGGGGAATCCCCGGCAAACACTTTATCGCCGTCAGTGTTACTACATTTGACGGTTTGACGGACTACAATCAAATAAAATTGAACTTTTGTATGGACCAGTACAAAAAAATTATTGACATACGATTACTTACTCCTGATACAATAACTTTTTAACCATTCTCGAAAAAAAATCTTGACTCGAAGTTCACAATCGCGAATCACAAAAACGCATATCGATAAATAATAATATGCAGATATTGATTTCCAACAAATTGATGAAAACATTAATAACACTGTCAACCCACACAAATAATTTACGGGAATTCCCTTTTTACCCGACTGCGCGACGCAAAGGAGGGTACCTAATTATAACTTTGGAATTACTCACAACTGAGTTTCCATGATTAAACTCGAGTTGTCACCTGTCATTTTTATTTTGAAGATGGGAGAAATTTTCAAAAGTTGAGTTCGATTGAGATTTTCTGGTAAAGATTCGAGGGCCCCCTGAGCTTGAGGGCCCCGGGGCACTGCCCCGCCTAGCCCCTTAGTAGCTACGCCACTATTTGTTATTCATTCTTCATTACGGCGTAATGAAACCGAACCATTTTTGAAGATATTGATTACTCCAAAAATGGTTGATAAATCGTGAATCACGTACTATAAGAACGTGCGGAAAAAGTTATCGTGGTCATAGATCGGTCAGGCTTCAAAGACTGTCCCGTGCATCGCCTTCCATGCGAGGGACATCGCTGAGTTTTAGTGGGTAAACTCCTGCTTCTTGTCTAGCCCCCTTGGGGGTGGGGCCGCAGGAGGAGCCCTACATAACCCGTGAAGGCCGCGCTGGGTGTAGCAGGTATGCGTAACGCATTTCTCAGCGTAAAAAAAAGAGTCAAAGACTGTGGCGAAACCCAGGTTAACTCGCAACAAGATGATGCTGTGTGGATGGTGGGATTGGAAAGACATTATTCATTATGAGCTGTTACTGCCAGGCTGAACCATCGATTCGGAACTTTACTGCGAACAACTGATGAGATTAAAGCAAGAAGTTCAGAGAAAGCGCCCAGAATTTAATAATACAAGAGGTATGGTTTTTCATCATGATAACGCTAGAGCTCACACATCTTTTGTCACTTAGCAACAATTAAGAGTTTGGCTGAGAGGTGTTAATGTATCCGCCGTTTAGTCCAGACCTTGCACCCTTCTGATTTCCAACTGTTTCGATCTCTTCAGAATTCTTAAGACAGTGTCAGTTTATCATCACGCGAGAACTGCCAAATCCCTTATCGCGGTTTTTTTATAAGCTCCAAAATTTCTACTATAATTGGATCATGTCCCTACCTACAAGATGGCAAAAAGTTATCAAACAAAATGATACCTATAAACTTTGGTTAAATTTTTATATAAAATGCGAAGAAAATTTTCTCCCAACCTATTAGATAATTTTCGAGAAGAAAAGTTTTAATATTAATTAAAATACTTATGCGAATATTAGGAATATCTTTATTAAAAACTGAAAAAATGTCATAAATTTATAATCTCGATCATTTACAATATTCTTTTGGCACAAGTCATTTTATTATCTTTCATATAACTTAATCATAATCTTTCATATTTCATTTAACTTACATCATAACATTATCAATAATATTCTTATCAACTAAATATTATATAACACACAAAAATACACTAAGGCCTGCCTCTGGTTTTTATATAGTAATTTAACAGTAGTCATTTCAGTCATTTAATTTAACAGTAGTAGTCAAATTATAAATCATTCAGCGATTTAGGCATTCGATATACTGGAGAGGATTTTCTTCCCAATCAATCCAGAAGCAGTTTGCAGAATAACTTGAGCCAGTGTAGTGGTATCGGTGCTATGCTGAGCGAGAAACATGGCCGCTTGTTTATAATCGTTTAGTCCCATGCCAGCTAGATAGTCGTATACTATTTCAAATAATTCTGAAAGCTTTGATTTTATATCTTCCCATACGTCACGCATCGATATAGCTGAAAAAAACAAAACATTTTTAAAACAATAAACTCCTAAGTTACGTCGTGCGGGTGCATACCCACGATGAATAAAATGAAATGAAAATATCTTTATTCCAGTAATGAAAATATTTTTATTCAAGTAAAATATCCAACGATCTATCAAAAAAATATTTTTCGAAGGAGGCGAAATATGAAGGTGTGCTAAGTTTAAATCAAACATAATTCGAGCTGATGCAAATATTAAGCAAGTTTCTTAAGGGCTAGTTCTAGGATGGGTGCATATAAATTTATTATTTTGAGATCCTCCGTACTTCGGAAGACATGTTAAGCCGTTAGTCCTGGCTGAGATGGATTTAGGGCTCGTTATCCCCATTATTTCTTTTTCCAGAGGCATTCTGAAATTACCTGCTGAAGCGTGACATTACATTAGAATATTATATAATTTGTAACAAGGGAGACGGCCAAAATCATGATTCAACAATCTGACGATAATTTATGATCATATTATGACGAAACTTAATTATACATTAACTGTCATTAAATTGATACATATAATTTAAAATAAAATAGCTAAAAGACGGGTAAGAAGTAAGCTACGATTGTGTTTAACTACCCTCATTTTTTGCCTGACTACGGCGAAGCGAAGAGGTTATGTTTTTGGCCGTTATGTATAAATATGTATGTAAGAATGTTCAACTTAAGATGAGTAGAAACTCATCGTAACTAGATAAATGAGTTATCATTAGAAGAGTCTTAGCTGTCCGCGTGCAACAGGCTATGTGATGTGAGCATAAAGTAAGCAACTAAAAAAATATATTATTTAATCATTCCGAGTAGGGTATCACATGAAAGGGCTTCATTTGCACTTTTCAAATATATATACATATTGATATATAGAAAGCCCGACCACAGCTAAATCATGCTCTAAAAAGCTTGAAACTCGATATTTATAACTCAAAAGCGATGACCAAAGAACAGAGTAGTCGTATGCGACTGATCATAATAAAACAAACTGTTATGATATACGACTACGCTGTCCTTTGGTCATCGCCATTATAATGTAGCTATTGTTATAATTAAAATTTCTTGTTTCAAAGTTTTTAGAGCGTGATTTATGTGTAGTCGGGTTTTAGTTTTTGAAAACTTCAAATAAACATTCTATAATATTTTGAATAATAATAAATCAAATAGTTTATATAGGATATATTTACCGACAAATCCGAGCCCGCAAGCACCGCCAATGGCGCCACCCACTGCGGCACCAACTTTCCCGCCATAGTGGCGTCCAATCAAACCGCCTGCTAAAGCCAACCCAGTGGTCACTAGAACTGCACCCTTGACTCGATCATCGCTCATTATTACGCGAAAGTCGAAACAATCGCTGATAGTCAAAATCACGTTTTCTAGTGATGTAGGGTCGAAAGGCAAGGCGGTTGAATCAGACCCCCGCCTGCACATTTCGTAACTGCACTCATAGTCTGAGTCGTCAAACGAACTCATTTCTAAAAGAATATTATTATACTTAGTTATTTTTTAGTATAACACTATCACACAGCGGCGGTAATAGTCTGACCAAGTTTTTATAAACTACATGTATATTTTAAAGTATATTTTATTAAATGAAGGTATTTTTAAATTCGTTCATAGACTATTATAGAGCAAAAGTACAAATTTAAAAAATAAAGAATATACAAGATGCCACCGGAAAGATAATAGAATTGTCAGTGTTACAATGAATGTGTACATGTAGAAATTAATTTATTCACTTGACATTGGCAGAATTGTACGAAATGAGCAGATAAGCCGTTAATAAGATAAGAAGAAGAAAAGTTTGGAAAGATATCGAGTTGTAATTCAATAACTCTAGTTACGCAATCGCAACTCGTTTTATAATGATGAATGATAGCATTATGAATGCAATAGGGTATTTAACTTGAATTGAATTTGAAAGTTCTATAGCTCATTTTCGTAATTACATTTTTTTTTTGAGTTATCGGTCGTGTTTAATGATGCACCTTCTCTATCTTCTTTTATATAATTATACTATACCATACGTATTTTATATAATTATATTATACATTATATTCATTAATTTAAAAGATTTTTTCGGCAAGAACTGTCATCATAATTTTGCATTATACAGGTTAGATTTAGTGTGTTTGAGTTGTCGCCATGCAACTGCCCACGGATCGAGTGGTGTGGGTTCGATCCCCACAAAGGGCCATTCTTCGTGTGATTTACTAATTATTAATTTTAATTCTTCTATTCTTAGTCTGGATGTACTTTTCCCTCGCACATTGGACTTGTATCCTAAAAAACAGGCAGGGCTTTATAAAAAAAAAATTGAAATAAATAAAATGAACTAAGCAAGTGAAGATCCATGAATAAAGTTTCTTTGAAATGTCAAAGCATCTTTACGTACTTCCTTAAAGCGATGTAATAAACAATATTTAACTTAATATATATGTAATACAAGTCATTATTGCTGATTATAAGTCATAAACAATACAAGCACAAAATAAAATACGGGAAATCGCCGTAAGTCAGTATAGATGGTGTTGCCAAAATAAGTAATGAAAAATTCCGTGTTCTTTTCATTCGGTCTGAATTTATAGTTGCGTTAAAATATGAATTAGTTCAATTATTTAAAAACTATATTTTATTTTTTACTGTAAAATTTTGCCGCCTTAAGTGCCGCCCGGGACGGGCCGACCTCCTGCCCCCACTACGCTACGCCACTGGCGGCGTATGTACAGACAATAAAAAATTTATTAAAGAAATGTATAGATTCCGGACAAGATTTCTATTAAATTTTAGGTCTATACCTCGAAACGGAATGGATTCCCCAGCGCAAATGCTCATGGGTAGACGTCTGAAAACAAAATTACCGATTACTACAAATTTATTAAGTGAAGCAGTTGATAATCATAGAAATTATGAGGCATTAATGGCAAAAAGACTTTATATTAAACAGCAGTATGATAAATCGGCGCGGGTATTGAATAAAGTATCAGTGGGTGATAAGGGTGATAAAACCAGTTATAATAGTAAAAACTGCCAAGGAACCTCGATCATTTGTAGTAAAGGATGAAGAAGGAAACAAATTTCGTCGCACATGTATTCAACTGGTGGTGCGCAAGATTTCCGATACTCGGTTAAAAGGACTATCAGTTGAAGTTGGTGTACATAGAATGAATCCATCAGGATTACCGCATTCAGTGGCACGACGCCGGCACAAACAAATGAGAACAATAGAAGAATCAAAGAAGACTGAAATTACTGTAGAAAGTGAGGAATCGAGCTCAACAAGTTCGCATAACTCAGTACTAAACCAATCGTCACCATCACCATCTCCACCAAACGTTCCAATAGAAAGGTTTAAGGAAAGAACTGCGTGAATGCTGACGAATTTCATTTTTGGTACATCTAATAAAGATTGATGAACCACTAGTACGTGCCTATATCTATGTTATAATATCATTTAGTTTTCATTATTTAATTGATACTTTTAGCTTATTTCTCGTTTGTTATAAGGGAAAAGATGTAGTATATTGTCGTACGGTATACTTGTTAAATGTATGAGGGTACATTTAATATAAATAATAAAGCAGTGTTAAACTAACAACGTGTGTTTATCAGACCGACCATAGATATATTGTCTAAAGCGTTCCACAGCAAATACTATGGCTAGCATCTCCTTCTCTGTCTGGGCATACCTACTTTGCGTCTCAGTAAGCGTGAGAGAAGCAAACTCCACTGGACCGTCATTCTGCAGAAGCACAGCACCTAGCGCAACGCTGCTAGCGTCCACTGACAACACCACCGGAACCTGCGGAGAGTATAACATTAACACTGGTGCACTTGCCACCATACATTTTAATTTATCAACTGCTTCCACGTGATACGGCTCCCAAAACCATTCAACGTCTTTCTTTAATAGATTTCGCAAAACATTTACATATTCAGAACAATTTTGAATAAACTTTGACAAGTAATTAATCATACCAAGAAACCTTTCTAACGGTAACGGAACTGGCAGTGAAACTACGAGGTGCCAGTGTTTACAGTGTGCTCGATGCTCGTTGTGGGTTTTGGATGGTGGAACTCGATGATGTAAGTGCCGATCTTTGTACTTTTGGCACACCGTTTGGCAGATATCAATTTTTGCGCCTACCCTATGGGTATAAGTTGGTTTTTTCACGGAAAACTTAGACAATACTTAGAGGATTTGGAAGGAGTGGAATCATTTAGTGATGATGTAATAGTCTGGGAAATTCAAAAGAAGAACACGATAAACGACTAGAATTATTATTAGAACGAGCTGGAACGATTGGAATTAAATTTAATCGTGATAAATGTAAGTTCGGTGTATCAGAAATAAATCAAAATTCACAATCAAGTAGACAGTAATTAGTAAAGATAATGTAAGTGACGACAATATGTCTTGTCGCTGCGGTACTTCGGTGGGCAATGCGCAAGCGCATGAACAATAGACTTATTGAGTATTGAGATAGTGACATTTTGTCAAAAAATTTAAATGTGACTCTTTGTGGATTGCACTATCTATGCCTACCCTACTATGTTTTGAGTTACATCTGTAGACACATATATTGGCTCGGCACAATAATTATACATTGGTTGCAGTTGTTAGTATTAAGCTTAGTTAATAAAAAAATAAAGTAGAGAATTATATTAAATTAATCAAAGTAAAAAATAAAAACATAATATCTACAGCAGTTAAAGTAGAAAGATACATTTCTAAAAGGTTTCACAGTCTTCGAGTTTGTGTGAGAACAAGACTTTTAGATACTCGATACAGGTTGATTGCTTATTCGATATTTAGTATTTAGACGTTCAAGCAAAAACTTACTACAGTAAATACGTCGCAGCGCTAGTGCGAACCAATACCTATTAAGTCTGTGGCACAGACCAAGAAGAAGATACTACGTATGTCTGTCTGTGGTGCGAACCACAGTTACTCTTTGGTTGTTTTGGTTTCTATGTTTTTGTAAAGTATAGTTATATTAAATTGAATGATTGCACATATTTCTAATAATGGACCAAAAATCAATGTATCACAGAAATAGAGTTGCCGAAGAGGCTCATCTCTTGAGTGAAGAAAAATGGATATTAGAAGCTTTGGATAAAATAAAAAAACAGCGTAACTGTTTGCAGGTTTGATATTATTGTTTGCACCAATTAGATTATATTTAACAATATGCATTTTTAATGTCACGAGGAAAGCAAAAGATTTATTCGTCTTTTTAGATTGAAAGACTTCAATTGGAGAGCATGAAAAATCAGTTAAAGAATTCTTCTAATAAAATAGTTGACAACGACGTTATGATACAGTCAAATTTGGAAAAAACCCCAGTAACATTTACTATGGATATGATGCAGAAAGCGTCTGGTCTTGAACCACAAGATATTAAAGCCAAAGAACATTTGTTAGTAGCTGAAAGTGTGTGCAATAAAGAAGAGTTGAATCTAAATGTCACTAACTCAAGTTTCAGTAAGTTTACTAATGTCGCCATATCTTTGAAACTTAATTTATAGTCACTAAATCCTCTAGGATTATTTTTAAATAGTTTATTTGTAATCTTAAATCTAATTTTTAAAGAAATCTGACTTTCATTTAAATGCTCATATATTTTTTATTTAAGTTTGACATCAATAATATTTTCTCGAAAATACATTTATATGAAGCTTTTATGCATTATTTAGCTTTTATCATTTGATAATATTACCTAAGCCATCTAAAAAGGTTGGTAAAGCTACCAAGCTTTTTTGTATCTGTTATTGTACATATTACAGGTCAGATACCTGCCATAGAAGTTGATGCGGAGGAGTACGAAGATGAATATGATGAAGAGGATGGTGAAGATTTGCTTATTGATATGAATATGTTTATGCATGGAACCCAAATTACTAGTAATAATAATAAATAGTATTTATTTTAGTACTGATATTTTTACATTGTTTAGAGATATTAAATTCAGCCATTATTGATATAAGTTGGTTAATAATTTTCTCCTTGGCACAGTGAGTTGACGCTACTTGTAAGGTACCGTTTTACTGTGGTTTACTTAAAGCTTGAAAGTAGCTATTTTTTTATTAATTAAATGACAATGAAATAGTGGCCACTGAACCTGTAACAGGTTTTACGAAATTATCACTTTTTAAACCAATTCAATTCTAAGACTTTGTTCTTCTATCTACAGGGGTCTCAAAGGCTTTGTTAATATTTACCAAATATTGTTTAATCACCAAGATGACTAAATAGATTTTTGGATTGATCGAAACCAAGTGAGTGTGTCTTTACTCCCCATGCGAATTTGTGAGGGAATGTAAGCGGAGCTACAAGAGGTAGGTACCGAAATTAAAATAAGTTGTGCACTGCGCCCGCATAAATTATAGGTTGTGTCAACCATATTTTATTACCCACAAAATTAAAAACCACAGCCTGGTTTCACACCTGAGTAGTTTTGGAGCTGAATAAATTTCCTCTATATAGTTAAAAATCATGCATTTTGATTTAATTTAGAGTACATTTTGTATTTCAAACAATTTAATTTGGGGGAATGTCACAAGGAATTGATAAACATGTTTATATTAACAAAGAATTTAATAAAGTTTGTCTTACATTTAGATTTACAATAAATCATTAATGTATTTTATATACAAGTACCATACACAAAGCAAACAACAATAATTCTTTCCTTTTGAAAACTGCTATGTTTAATGGCACTGTCAGCTCTGATGTGGATGTACCTGATAGGTTCACTGAAATTACCCATACAGGTAAATCTGTCAGATATACTTCACCAGGGATCAACTTTGTTAATATTTCCAACCTTAGGCACTGTTATTCGATAAGTATTCTAATCAATTATATACATTATAGGGTCTTCTATGTTAATTTTCGGCTTATTCTTACAAGATCCCATTGTTTTGCTCCTGCTTTGCATATAAAACCTAAGCATTCCATTTGAAGAATATGAAAGACAACAGTTCTTCTATATACCCCTTGCAGTAGTGATGGAATAGTTTAGTTATAGGTGTCACATTACCCAAAAGTATTTACAGGTACACAGAGCACAGAGGAGTACATATAACAATCAAATAAAATATTACTGATGATATGAGTATGTCAGTCAATTTAAGTTAAAGTTCAATTTATGTTAAAAGATTAATGGGATAAATGCTTCTGTGCAGTTTGCATCAAGGTATAATAAGTGAATTAAATAGCGATTTTTGATCCCCCTTACTGGAGATCACATAAAATACATATATGCTATTAGTGAGAGTAAAACAATGGGGTCACATAGGATTAAACCAAATTTTTTCTAAGTAACAAGAATGCTGTTTTGCAATGAGAAACTGTTAGAGAAAGATTATATGAGATACAGAATGTGGATATACTATTTATATATTTTTATATAAAAATGATTCTACCTTATTTTATTTATAAAACATAAGGTTTCCATCACTGTTGCAGATTATAATACTTAATAATTTACATCTGAATGGGTTATAAAAATTGTTATCTGTTGAGTGCAAAAATAAAGATTATGTTTATTACGAAAATACAAAAAATATTATATTTGTCATCTATTTTCTAATTTGATTATTACTTTTATTATGGCTATGGTGTCACAATAAGTCATCTCATTGGATTGACCCAATAGACAGCTGTATAGAAGTATATTGACTAATGTTATTATACCAAGGATTCTTTCGTTTATGAAGCGCCAGTCACTCATATCCAATACTCAGTCTTTCTCCAAAACAATACACAATTCCGAATACAACAACCAGCAAAAAGTACTAATGTAAAAAATAAGTTAGAACACTATATTCCAATGTATTTATACAAATATAAGATATACCTCTTTATATCCTAGTTAATATGCAAGCAAATTACAAACGTCCACAGTATGTTGTTAATATTAATAAGTAATAACTTTTCATTTAATTTATAAATTAATACTGAAGATAATTTTTGATGACAGTGTTGGAATGAGACTCGTAACTTCTTTGCTATGGAAGCTATTATGATTTCTATAGTGATTCTATAGTTAATAATTATTGATTTACATATTGGCTCCTTCTTAAGGCTTACTTTAAGGCGACGAACTAAGGCGGTAGATGTTTGTTTAATTTATGCATTCCACTTTAACTTCCCATCACAGATTTTTAATATTTGCAAATGAAACTCGACTGAAATTGAAGAATAAAAAAAGAAACAAAAAAAAACTGTAGTGTGTTGTGTTGATGATAATAAAAGAACAAATATTAAATACTAAGTTTGACCCAAAACAATTACTTGAAATAAATAATCAATTGTCGCATAAAGTGAAATTATTTTTGAAAGTATATTTGAGTACTTTAAATAAATATATAACATAGTTTGTTCTCAATTGAACATAGATTCTATGCTATTTATTATACATAACTTATTAAAAATAAAATCTGTCAAATATAAAAACAAACTGAAAATTATAAGATTTGTAATTCTATACCAAATAAGGTGTAAGCCATATTACATGCCGTTTTGATGAACATCTGAATTTAAAATTGTGATGATTAAATTCAACTAATATGTTAGGACTGACACAAATATTTATAACAGATGACTGCATCACTGTCACATTAAATAAAAACATTCTTAACAATACTCGACAGCTGCAGATGAAACCCTCAACATTACTTCCATATTTAATATCAAAGACGACACGACAACGCCGTTACACGCACTAGATATTTTTCACTATTCTGTCTCAACACTGGATATAATAATATACCACTCGCTCGCACTAATAATAATGTAATCACTTACAACGGGTTTCGCGTAATATTCTTTATTTAAGGTTCACTAGAGTCGCCGCGGGGCACAGTCTTTGTTTATCCTTATCAACGTTGTATCATAAGGACGATTTCCACGATGGATTTGTGTCGTAAGGACGTTGTCCCTGATGGAGTTGTTTCCTAAAGACGTTTCCATCAGTGGTTTTGTCCACTTAAGACGTTCTCCCGGTGGAGTTGTCCGATAAAGACTTTGTCTCCGATGGAGTTGTCCCATAAGGACGTTGTTCCCGATCGAGTTGACCCCGCGGACGTTGTCCCGTGTTTACCGGCGGCGGGGCGGGGGTGGGCATCACGCGAGCCGTGACCCACAGGATGTGTAGAACAGTATGTATGCCGCACTAGACTTCACGTCGGTCGCTGAGATCTCTGTGACCACGTGATCGTCGTATTTGTACCATCTGTCGGATAATTGTAATGTTTAACGTCTCATCTAAATCAGAAGTTTAAAATATTTGTAAAAAATATTTCTTTCGGCTGTTTGGGTGGATTGCCTGAGCATTGATGAAAATACGCTTGAAAGATTCATTCGTTCTTTTGGGTTCTGGGTAGCGCAGTGTTCAGAGCAGTCGCCCTGATAAGTCGTGGGTTTGAGTCCCATATGGGAGTACCTGGCGCAGGTAGATTTTTTAAGCATTTTCATTAAGAATATTTCACATTTTATAATATATGATATCGAATACGATTAATTATCGATTTTATTATTTATAATATTGTAAAGTAACTTCATAATGGAATAATAACTTCATTGTAATAAATAAAACGGATAAAAAACTAGCGGGAATCAACGGCTCATCTATACTTTCTGAAGCACGGATGACCTTGAGATAATAAATTTCCAGACACCAATCCTAAAACCGACCCTCGCGAAAACTTAACTTTAAACGGATGGCGCATAAATGGTGATAATGTTAAATTACTCACTTTCCGTATACACTACTCTTGCAGTAGGCCGTGTAATGACCGCCCTCCATAGACCCGTAATGATTGGACACCGCGTACAAGTTATACAGATGATTGCTGGGACAGTGCAGGGAAAACTGTCTCATGTCCAACTCCTCCAGCGGGAAGTCTATGTACGTCTGCCGTTTCCTATACGCGTTCACCATGTACTCCTTGGGATCAACGTAGAATCGTTTGAAATGTATCACTAAGACTGGCGGTAGACGCGATATGTCCAACTTCTTGACCGCGTCCCGTTTCTCTTTGCAATTAGGACAGTTCCAGCCTGGTATCGTTTCGCCGTTCAGGTAAAGTTTCAGGCAGTCCTGTTGGAGAATTTTTCTTTTTATTGTCGCCGCGTACAAATTGAACGAACGGCAAACTTACACTCAGTAACAAATCTCATTCATATTGTTATAAGGACCAATTGAAGCGCGCATGGTAACTAACCAGCTTTCTTATAAGGATAAGCTTTAAATTTTGACGTTCGTTGGCCATTCGTTCGCTCAATCTGTACGTACCGTTAAATATAATAAAACAAACATTACGTCATCTCAGTGCAGGGCCATGAAGATATACATTTAAAAAATTATCTGTTTTAGTGAACGAATGAATTAGTGTTTTAAAGCAATTAAAAGATACATATACAATATCTCACCAATGCTGGTAAAACCTGTTAATTGTAAATTTATACAAAAATTAATCAATTAAGTAGAAAATTTCAAGCTGCATCTACTGGTGTAACCCATTTTCTTTTCATAAAAATTATTGGTTATCAGATTTTACCAGCATGTGTGGGATATCAACAATTCGGGACATTAGGCACAGTCGCAGCCTAAAAGTTTAATAATAAAATTGATCGAGTAAATTTTAATTTATTGTTCAATATTCAATTTTATTCTACACATTTATCCATATTACAACAGCAGTCGCCATTCGTTGTCCGTACTCTGATATCTTTAAACTACACAATAGATTTTAATGCAGTTTTCATCAATATACAGTGATTTAAGAGGAAGATTTATATGTATAATATAGGACCATGCGGGCCAAGCCGCTGGCGGAAAATTAATTAAAAAAAGGAATTAGTGAAATCGGTCCAGCCGTTCACGTGTGATGGCATGATCAAGCGAAATATGGATTCATTTTTATTTTATTATTTATTATCATCATTACCAGCCTATGCTGGGGATCAGGCCCATCTTATGAATGAAATCGAACAGGGAGAATTAGGCATGACCCACCGCGCGGGCCCAGTATGGATTGGTGGGTGTTAACGACTGCAGATGCAGCCGGGACCAACTAATTATCGTGACTTCCGCAGCATGGAGGTATTCAAGATAACAAATTTTTGGTCACCCATCCTATGACCGGACATTGTGAAAGTTGCTTAACAATTGTATCGCAGACCAAGCGCGTTAACCACTGCGCCGTCGAGATCCTTGAGAATTATTTACTACGATTAGTGATTACTTACACTGAGCGAGCAGCGGGTAGCATTAGCCGGCAGTTCTAGCGACAGGTTGGAGAAAGACTCGTAGTTGGTACTGGTCTTCCCGCAGACCGTACATCTTACCGTGGACTTTATCTGACCGTAGAACAGCTTCAGTATCAGGCTCTCTTTAGACTTTGTGTATTCATGCCATGCTTTCTCCGAAGGAGGTAAGTTCTCCTAAACATAACGAAACAAATTATTTACATTTGATATAATTAGTAACTTATTATAAAGAAAGAGGTAAAGTTCCTAAATTTAGGGGGGAGGGGGGGGGATCATTGAAAATACTGAATCGATCATGAAAAATCTTTCACTCAGGGTCAGTTACGTGGACGAAGTCCTGTGAAACAGCTACTTTGTAATAAGGTCATTTTATTATTCAATTGTTACGATTAAAATGTCTATTCCAATAGTTTTATAACAATGACTATTCCGAAGTTTTTTTTCCGATAGATAGAAATTCTGACATTGGAAATTTCTGTGTCGAATCGAACTTGGAATTTTAATGGCGCGGAACTGATTAATCGTCAGTCAAAGTGACAGCTGAATGACAGGAAAGAATGCACGTAAAGCAATCTACAAATAGTGTTGCCCGTAGTAGTCGATCCTTTCTATCTAATATAAGTAAACACGGTCAGGGCGTTCACTGAATGGCGTTGTGGTTAGGGCGTTTGATTTGATTGCAGAGGTTTCGTAAGGGGTCGGTTATTGGATGGATAACCAAAACCCTTTGGAGTGACGTTTTGCTGTTAGACCCGGCTGAATATGTAGTCATCCACCAATCCGCACATGAATCGTGTCACGGCCCGTTTTTCCTATGTGATTGCATACATAGGAAAGGCCTGTGTTCCAAAATGGGGACATGTATAGGCCTATCACGATAATAAACACTAATGGCATACAAAGCAGTTTTACAGTCTGTATAATTTACTGAAGACCGGTGTCAATAGTCAGAACTTTATTATTTATTAATATTAGACAACATATAAAAAAAAGAGTGAGAAAAACTATAACGAAAATGGTACTGCTCAGATACCTAAAGCTTAAGAACCATATTATTTATACATATAAACCACATAGGGCTTGTTCTGGAAATCTAAACAGCGAAGGTAGAAAAGTGATTTTTGATACATTGAATTGGCCGGGAATCAAAAATTGGCCGGGATCTCAGAAATGATGGCATCTCATTCTTTATATTAACTTCACCTTATGTGGCATCCAGATAGTGAACTGCAGATCTACATGGATACACTTTATGAGTATGGCAAGAAACTATCTAATATGCAGCATCTATCTATTGTTAGAGGGAAAAAGATCGACTACTACTGGCAGCACGAATTATCGAATTAACTACGGGCATCCCTATGTGTCAGTTAGCTGTCAATGTCACTTCTCGCGCCAATATACGGAATCGACATTGTGATGTAAACATAGCAATTAAGTAATAAATGATATTATTTATTATGTATACCTTATGTGGCACGCTGATGGTGAACTGTAGATCTAGATGGAGCCAGTCCATGAGTATCGTGAGGAACTCGTGAGAGTCCTGCTGCTCGCAGCCGCGGAACGCGCGCTGATGTTTACCTACCTCGTTCTATATTATACAATACACAAATATTTAAAAACAGTCGTCTGATAAAAAGATAGTATGTTGCTTTTTGTAAGAATAATATTTGGATAACCAAACACAATATTGTCAAAAGTTCTAAGAATTTAATGAGAAAAGACTTAATAGTGCTTTAATGATAAAGCAATTAGGATAATGCGTATTGAAGTTGAGGAATAATTTATAGATGATGCAAAAATAAAAAAAATACTTGTTCAGTTTTCTTCAATAATCCACCTGACAGATAGAAAAAAACATTAGTCATTATCCCTATTATCAATGATATTTTATTGTGATGATCTTTTTGTCTGTGATATTTTAATGGTTAAACTCAAGAAGAAAAAATTATTTGTGCGATTAGTGATTTGTAGGTACTCATGTTACATAGATGGAGGCATAGAGATGTAGAGGCATAAAAAAATAACCTTATTAAATTGTTTAATGACCACTTAATTAAAAATTACATTTAATTTGCCAGTGTCAGTCAGTGAATTTTCCTCCATTTTTTTTTAAGACCGTATCCATAAATCTGCCCCATTTTTGACATATCTTTTAATAAATGAAACAAATTTTAAACGGTTTCTTCATGTTTGTGTGCAGTTTTATTGACGTTTCGAACCCTTTACATTACAGGTTCCGAGTTCACATAAGACTATGGTGTTGATTGTCTTTTGTTTCGTTGAAAAGACAACACTTAAATCTTATTAATGGCTACTGCGCGTGAAAATATAAGAAATTAATACCTATCTTTTAATGTTAAATAAGTATTTAAGTAGCTCGGTAGCGTAGAGGATAAGCGCCGCGGCCCACGAATGTTATTGTTAAGAAACTTTCGCAAGGGTCAGTCACGGGATGGGAGACCAAAAAATTATTATCTCGAGCTACTTCGTGCTTCGGAAGGCAAGTTAAGCTGTTGCTCCTGGCTGCATTTGCAGTCTTTAATACCCTCCAATCCGCATTGGGCCAGCGTGGAGGGTCATAGCCCATCTTCCTTAACCATCCATAAGGAAGGCCTGAGCCCCTGCATTGGGGACGTAAAAGGGCTGATGATGATGAATGTTAAATACAAGTGTGACAGTGACAGTACCCTGAGTTCCTTGGTGGCGATGAACCGATACTGTCCGGACCACAGCGCGCGCACCACCGCCGCCACCTCCTCCGCTATGGCGCCCCGCGTGCTGTGAGACCTGCCCACCGATCACACGTGCTCAGTACCACCGGTCAGTAACCGGCGTCAGTACTGGCGCCGAAAACCGACCGCACAATTCACACGGAGTCACGAATTGGCTACTTGACGGTTATAACAATAAATTATGAAATATTTTGCAAATATTAACTCATTTGTAGACCACTATGCAGTACTTTTGCAAAATACAGTACAATAAGTGAAACGCCGGTGGCTATGATAAAATATCGTGTGAACTTACATTTTAATAAAGTAATTAAAATTTCAATGAAGTTAAATCCTTTTATTAAAATAAATTTCTAAGGACGAGTAATTTCAATTTGTGCTTATAATTTCATAATAAACAAAAAAGCTGTCTGTCTGTTCTAGACGAGCAATTTATTGAAATGTGACGCCACGTCTCGAAATGCCACGTGACTGATTAATTTCGCGGGCATTTAAAATTAATGAATAAAAATGTTTTTAATTTATTTGACTACACTTTAAAAAAATATCATATGAAAGTTTTTAAAATAATTTTCCATAAACAGTCAAGTAACCAATGTCTTTTCGTTTTACAGAGATTCTATGTGATTTGCTTCGATTTCAGTCATTTATTGACTAACAAAATTTTGTTCTTTCCTAGTAACCTTATATTTCTGCTGTGGATACTTATTTCACTGGTTCACGGTAAAGGGATATTAACATAAAATGTATTTTAACGTAAAGTAGTTCTCACCTCTGCCTACTATGTAAGAAATCTAAAGTCCAGTTACACCGAAACTTGCGTACACATATGTAAGTACAATATCATATTAGAAAGACCAGATTGCATATTTAGTTTTAAGACAACGTGCTCATGTATAACTAGGGTTGCCATTTCGCCAAACCAAAAAAAGCCGGACAGACCAGACAGTTTGGCCGGACATTTGGTTAGAAGGGCCGATCTTCTCAATAATGTAGGGTATATTAATTAGGATTTTGTGTCTCACCAAAAATTGATACGTCAATTTTTTTTATGTAAAGTCAAACTTTCGATGCTCGCTCGTTTGCAAAATTTAAAAAGCCTAACAAAAGCCGGACGCCGTTTATTTTGGTCGGACACGCAAACGCAATCAAAAAGCCTTCCTATGTCTTGCTATATCCGGACACCTGGCAACGCTATGTATAGTATCACTACATTGAAGCTACTCAATTGTAATATTGAGTTTAAAAACCTATGTAAACATTTTTTGTAAATAAATATTATTATTATTATAGTATAAAACAAAGTCGCTTGCTCTGTCCCTATTTTTTGCTTAAATCTTACTCTAATAAAAACTACGCAACGGATTTTGATGCGGTTTTTTTCATAGAAACCGCTGGCGGAAAGCTAGTACCTATATAAGCGTACTCAGTACGCCGGTTCTGCCATTTTAACACATTGATTAGTTACCTGTTCACGTGTTCCAGATATTGTCCGTTGCAGAAGTATGCGACAAGTATGGCTGTGTTGTTCAGGCACTGGATGATGGAGTTCATGTAGCAGGTATTACCCAAATTCTTGAGACCGGTCAGTCCGCGTCCCTAAGTTTACATAAACACTTGATAATTCAGAATGTAAACATTTTCTTAAATGAAAAAAACAATTGCTATATAAATGTACAGTCGATAGCACCTTAACTTATACAAGTATGACAAATACTAAATAATTTCAAATCTTAACCAGTTGATTGTTAAGTTAAAATTATGTGTAAATTTTACGATAGTAAAAGTTCCTTCATTGATTTACATTTTAATAAAATTTGGGAAAATGGGATAATGGCATTTTCTACATCATAATATCGAAATTTATTAACATTTTTATTTTATACGATTTATTGACTTATAATTATTTCACGAATAATATGAAATATTTATGTATAAAAATATAATAACTTACCCGCTTAAATAGCCAAACGATGTGATTCTGTGAATACTTAAGTCTCACTTTAACTTTCAACACCATATTGGCCGTGTCCAAAGGAATACATCTTTGTTCGTAACGTAAAATCTTGACTTTTAATCAAAACTATTTTGGAAATATTAGTTTTTGACGGAAAAGCGCTTTTTATAACACTTGTCTTTCTTAATGTACCCTAATGCGTATTTCGACTTCTGCACGCAACTGTCCAGTTGCTTGTTATTCTATGCACAACAAAACTTTAAATTGAAATATTGATTTTCTTTTCTGGCTTATGTCCAAAAGAAATTTTTATTCTGTTCTATTTTACTTTCTTTGTCAGTTTAGTTGTTGGTTTCACGTCACCTATTTTCCTAGTCACTTCTAAAAATACATTTAATAAGGCACAGTCGTTTTGTATTTGGACAAAGGGAACACGAGCACTAACAGTGCAATCAAATACAGTAAGAAAACCGTCGATAACACCGTCGCCAATGTTCGCAACATGTCAATATGGACTCTAACACTGAACAATATAAGGTTGATTTTAATGTTTTAGTCACACTGTATAGTCAACAATGCAGGTATGTAAGGTTTTGTTCTAGTTTTAATTTAGAAACTATAAATATTTTCATCTAGCACTTAAGTATATATGTAATTGCATTTATTTATAATTAATTCTTTGTATATTTCGCGGTGACAATAAATAAGTAGTGCTGCGGCGTCCATAAAGTTGAATGCTACGGGACGTACGATCGCTAGCATAGTTGTGGCACAACTGTCTCACGTGGCTGGCTAGTTGATGGGGGTGGCAGGACGCCGCCCAATGGGTGGGACTAAGGTTGACAATCGTACTAGGTAAAAATATTAGTTATTTAGGAATAATAACATACAAAATCACATAAAGTATAAACTAGAGGTAAAATTATTACTTGTACAAAATATTAAGCTCAGTCTATTCATTAGTGAAGCAAATGTATACACAATAATTGTGCGTGCGTATTAGTGTAGTTAGTAAATACTGTCTCATTTAAATAAAATAAATTAAGTATTATTATATCGTAATTGTTTGCTACGAATTAAATATTATATTTATTAGTATTATTAGATAGGACAAACATCCTCATTTATGACGTCATAAGCTAGTAAACGGTAAACATAAATATAATGGTACTTTCCAAAGCCGCTTTTTGCTGTTATTATCAATTTCTGCAAATATCCGTCTCTTTTAATTTTATTCAAATAAAACAAATGTAGGATTATTGTTTAACACGACGGTTGGTTGACATTGACAACCCTACGTGAGTAGTAGCGAGGGATGGGGGTCTACCTAGTAACGTTTACAGTCTTGTAAGAAATGTGAAGTTGACGATTAGTCGGCGCGCAATAATATCATAATTGACCTGTGGAAATTTACTGCGCTATTAATTCTCTTTGAATTTATTTTGTTCAATAAAACTGCTTAAAGTTTAGCATAGTTAAGTCATAACGAATTCTACTAAAATTCGTTATGACTAGCTAAAATAGAACTTTGACTTTGTAGAATAGGAAAACCATTAACAACTGTAGTTTCATTCGGTTTCGATCCGTTTTCGATTCGATTTAAACAAAATTTATTTAGTAGAATTGGCCCCCTGTTCTTCGTCGGGCAGCGGTAGACTTATTTGGTTTGTACACAGTCATAAAATGCATTAAACCTTGAAGGTAGGGATGATGCCTAGGTTAAAAAATAAATTCTATTTATATCTTCAGACAGATAATAGAGAAATATTAGATACGTAATTTTTTTTGCTTCAATTTAACAATAATGACTTGGATAATGGATATTAAAGTTAGATAAAGACATTAAAGCGGGAGCTCATTTCGTCACAACTATGTAGGAAATGTCAAAGGTGTGACGTCATGCGACATTTCAACTCGATGTATTTCCGTAATTTTTGAGTTCAATAGTTTCCCTAATGCAAAAAACATTTGTTTTTTAAATTCGTTAGTTCTACCGATGATTTTTTTTAATTCGTTCAAATATATACTCTCAATGATCAAAGTTTTTTTTAACTTTATTTCTTTGTTCAACATTCAATGAAAGTTACCGATTTTTGGTTTTTAACAGCCAGTTACACAAACGTCATTAGTTTAATGCGACATTATCCATACCAATTTATCATTAATTAGAGCTTAAGGTCGTCATTAGACTTTAACGGACTTATTGTTAGTGTCCTATTATATTACAAACAGGTTGTTAGTTCAATATTGTTTATTGGTGAAATATAGTTTTGAAAAATTGTTTGCCAATGTTTGTCCTTGTAAACGGCGGGCGTAGTGAGTAGGTTTGGTTGGGAGGGCCGCTCGGCCAGGTCACGGTCTCTGCCCTCTCACGGAGAGTGCCACCTTGCGTATGATTGATGGATCCATTTACCCACCTCGCTTTATGGACCAGGCATAATACTATCACAAACTGTTACAACGTACACACAATGTTAGCGCGTTTATTTTATTCGCATATATAATTTAATCTTCAATAAACACGAATGCCTAATTAATATTAATTCTCTATTTAAGGTAAACCTGACTGACTTTTATGTAAACGCATAGTCGAGACTACTGTACCTAGAAACTTTTAAATAGGTATTTTTAGAAATTCAAACCCTAAGGGGGTGAAATAGGGGGCCGAAGTTTATATGGAATTTTCTCATTTCTGGACTTCGAAGTATGAGAAGCTGCTGTTGGAGGGCTAGTAATCAAGTCTATGCAAAGTATAAAACAAAGTCGCTTCCCGCAGTCTGTACGCTAAAATCTTTTAAGGTACATAACGGATTTGAATGCGGTTTTCATTAGTATACAGAGTGATTCAAGAGGAAGGTTTAATGTATAATACAGGACCACCCGGGCGAAGCCGCTGGAGGCTAAATAAAAAATAAAGGCAAAATAAAATGTTGTAATATGTTTTTAGCTAATACCCTATCTGTATATTAAATTTCATCAAAATCCGTTTAGTAGTTTTGGCATGATTGACGGAAAAACATCCAAACAATTATAATATTAATAGGGTAATAAGATTTGTGACGACGCCTACAGTTCAGTATAGGTTGTAATGTCGTGTAGAATTTTCAATTTGCGTTTGTCAGCAAATTATTTAGTTTTTCACATTTGAGTAAAGATGCGCTCGCTTTGATTTCACACATTTTTAATCACAAAAAAAAAAAAAATGCATTTATAAAAAATATTCTTTTAATAATTTTATATCTAACAACCTATTTAGAGTCACTATGCGATTTTTTCCTACCCAGCTAATTATCGAAATTTATGTCCTTTTTTTTGGAAACAGTCGACTATTAATTTTCATTGCATTCGATTTTTTTAAAGTGCTAAATTCGTCAATCCTCTCGCCATTAGTTCAAAAATTAGTAAAAACTCCAAATAGTTTTCAATGGATTGAATTTTAATCTAATGGCATCTAACATGTCCCCGGTAACACTAATCTACTTTAATCTCTTAGTTAAACGGTCTCATAGACGACATGGTTAATTGAAGCCTCATAACGTTTGTGTAGCATACAATGACTACGCACAAACTGTCATTACATTGGTATTTAGTATCAACAAGCAAATCTGTACAAATTTATTTATCTGATATATTTTCTGCATTTTCAATGCTATATTGATATTTATATTATATCTCGGAGTGCATGGGACTGGTGATGTTACTTAGCATTTTTCTTTAAGATAAAAAACTTTACTCATATTATAAAGAGGTTAGATTTTATTGGTTGTTTGTTTGCGTTGAATAGGTTTTGAAAGTACTGGACCACTTTCTGAAAATTCCTTCAACTATGGGTAGCTACATCAACCACGACTTATATAGGTTATAATTTATGTGGACGAAGTCGCGGAAAAAGCTACTTTTATATAATAACACAACTACAGTTTTTAAATCCACGTATAATATTATATGATATCATTTAAAATGTATGTTTTTGATAAGAATTCTTTGAAGGAAGTTGTAAATAAATCATTACATTGTCTAGATGTATTTTAAGTGAAGGTCGCGACATTATTATGCGTTTATATTATGTTAATATAATTCGTATATAAAATTTTACTACATTTACATTTGTGCGTCACAGCTGACCTTACCCTTTCAACTGTTGCTTATAGGGTGGTCGACTCGATTAAGGGTTGGGCTACATCTTTTACCACGTTATCGCCTCTTTATGTCGTCTAATTCTTTCTCACGATTCACATTGTGCCATCGCACTCAAGTTACCTTTTTCGCTCCAGCAAATGGCTTTTCCGTTAGCAGAAAAAGGATGGGGGGAAGGAGGAGAGGGGGAAACGCAATTAAGTGCTAATGAGATGCAACTTAAACTTAAAAATCTCTTGTAAAACAAAGTCAGTATTATAAAAAGACTGTAGTTACTTTTTTGACAGTGAATTTTTTTTATAAGTTGTGTTATATATTACACATATACGGTGCAGTAGTAAGCGCTTTCTATCTACGATACAGTTGTTAAGCTACTTTCAAGCGCCGGTCATAGGATGGATGACCGAAAAATTATTATCTCTAGCTTATCCGCGCTTCGGACGTTAAGTCGTTAGTTGCATCTGCAGTCGTAATGCACCTATCCACACTGAGTATCGTGGTGGGT